AAACGTGCTTGTAAGTTCCTTAAGCCATTCATCAGCATTTTGATCAGGTTTGCCTGAATATTTGGGTATTTGTTCTAAAGATTTACTGAGTAAATTTGCAGCTGTCTTTTCTGCCATAATAAGTTCGTTGGGACGATGAGCAATACAATGAATTGGTATATTATCAGAAAAATCAATATCAATATCAGCTAATCGTTGAAATTCTGCTTGAAAAATTCGTAATGCACCTTGTCGTGCTAACATACATCAATAACTTGAACAAGAATCAAAACTGGCTAGTGCATCAATTGTTATAACTTTATCTCGATTATTCTTGATCTTTTCTTTTACCAAACAAAATTCGAATGAATTCACCAAAAAACAAACAAAAAAAACAACAAAAAAATGTGTTCTCTTTCTCTTTCTCTTCGCCATTCTCTACTATCATTTATCCACCGTGACGAATATCATTAGACGAATAACAGAACAGTTATAATCCAATGTGAGACGGTTATATCAGCATAGAGGTGGCATTCTTATGTCATGAGAGACATCTCCTAACATAACAATCAACCTTGAAGTCGATAAATATCTAGTTTGTGGTAGCTTTGCTAGTATCAGTGGTGATAAGAATATTTTATCTTCTCTTCTCGTATTGTTGTCTTTCAAACAAATACTACTGCTCTTTTGCAAGAGCGACAATCTCAAATATTTATTCAAAAAATAGACTGTAATATATTCTCGCTGCTTATTAAAGAGAAATGTCGGTCTAACATATCAGAGTTCACATAAACGTTCAATGAGACAAATTATGTAACGGTTTCTATAGAAGTCATGTTGTTGCAGATAATTTTATACCTTATTGTAATCTTCCATATCATATAATTACAACGTCGACATAAAAGCAACGCGCATGTATATATATATATATATATATATATATGTGTGTGTAAGAATGCGAGAGACGGTGGCCATATAAAATAAAGCAGACAAACAAGGACACTAATGTAATAATAATATAGTGATAAGAATGGAGTCATAAACAGAAAGATAATGGTAATAAAGAATTTAAAAAAGAATATAAAGAAACGTTGTTAATGATAACAATAGTGGTATAGTCATATGTAATTTGTACTATGAGGAATCAGTAGTGTTTATCAGAGTTGTTATAAATAGTTGCTTATTTAAAGTTATGGAGTTAGTTGAACAAAGGGTTCTGATAAATGAAGTATGATTCAAATAGTTAGTTTTTATGTTTCTCATCCTTTTAATTATTTTCTGGCTAGAATGGAAATGTTCCAGATTGGCATGCTACCATAAAGCGACTAAGCTTCCAAAAGCGAGTGTGTTCAAAATTTATTCCACAAAAGTAAATACAGCTATTATAGTATTTTAGTATTTCAAATTATTCAATAATCTTGTGTAAAATAGAAACAATAGGGAATGTTGTGGCTGTAATAACCCTGCGCATACGGGCACAGCGCCAGAATATTATGAAAAATGGTATTGGGAAAAACACACCGAACCCAAACCGTCGGAATGTTACGGAACATTTCCTTATTCAAACTGTCCTGTATGATTACACTATTGAATTTGACCACTTTCTCTCTATTTATTTTTCACAGACGACAATTTTCATGAATTTCAATGTCACCAAATGAATTTTTACCGAAAAATCATTAGAATCCAAAACGATCTATTCTATAAGCACCACGTGTTGAGAACGAGCAAGTCCATATCGAGATCAATTTCTTATCATTTGAGTTAGGATACGCCGGTCATGGCATACACAGTTACAGTCACCCACGCTAATAGCTTTACTCCCTAGCAGAAAACGTAATTAGGTGATATTGAAATCATTGAAAACAAACTTGGCGAAAGCGGGGATTTTCTTGCAATTAACACGTGGAAGAGAAATGTTTTGACTTCTTTTTATATAGTATTTACGCTGCGATATCAAAACAGATCCTAAAAAACTCTGTTTGTTGTTATTGGGAGTATGGACTATACCTACGCCTAAGTTGATAATGAGAATGGTTGGTGATGCTGCTTCAACGTTCAATATCAACCTAGAAAAAGAAATTTTGCGGGGAATGTCAGATGCTGCTATGGCATCAGGCATGTAAACACTTTGGGCGAAGCATAAAAAACAAATATTGATTAATTTCAGATGCGTGGATTATCACAAGTGGTTACAGAGAGGAAACACTTTCTGAACTAATTGGTGAAGTAGTTCTCAAAAGCCGAGTGCAAAATACTGCACTTAGTTTTAATGCTATTGCTGTCGGTAAATGGGGAAACATTCAGGATTGTCGCATACTTGAAAAAAGGTTTGAAAATTTTATTTATTTTGACATGATGCCATGAATGCATTAGGACGTAAAAACATCTACAAAACGCTGTTAAAGCGAGACAAATCTGCACCCACATCTATACCCTCACGTTTTGTCAACCTAAATAACATTTACTTATTTTTCAACGCACTGGCCTCTATTTTAAATACAGTTTCTATCATTAAATATTTTTGCTGTTCCTAATATTCGAACTGAGTAGACAATTTAAAAAGGCAACTAAAAGAAATAAAGTGTCGGACCCACGCGGCTGGGTTCGAGTCGTGGTATATAAATTTTACCTCATTTCATATATAACTATCTGGCAGTATAGGTCAAATACTTCCATCTACTCCACTCTTATTACGAAATTCGAGAGAAATTAGTATTTTGAAATTTTTATGCTATTCATAGACTTAAATAAAATCAATTTTAGTTAACATGATATTGTCTCATGCTGATCGAATACTTGACACTGATGAGGCTCGTTACTAGAGCTACAATGAAAGGATAAAACATAAATCATAGAAATTAGAAGGAAACACCAATAAATTACAATGAAAAATCTCTTTTCTATTTTTTTTTGATCAAACAAATTGATGAATACCCGTAGTGCAGTTAGTTGAACATTCGATAATTGTAGATAGTGTAATACATTTTTTTTAGATAGAAAATGTATTTGATGTCATTAAAATGACTACAGTTTGCTGTTCAAAAATAAAAACTTCTAAACTCAATTTTGGCAGGAAAATGAGAAAAGCATACACGCGAAAACAGAAGAAAGAACCTAAAATTACTGATCTAAAGCATCTGCTTCTATCAATCGATAAGCACTCTAAGAGCGGATAAGCTGCATATCGCTATTAGGCGCAACATTGCCCCACAAAGTTCATCAGCGTACACACAGTCTAAGTTCATAACGCAAAATTCTATGATCATTATTAAGCAATATCCTACTCTCTAAATAAAAAAGCCGTTAGCGCAATCCCTGTGGTATTAAAATGTGAAACACGATGAAACTTCTTTTCTGGAATTCGACTATCACGGTCACTGATGGTCTGTGGAGCTTCTCTGTTACAGTCTGTATTATGATGTATGAAGTCTCTAGAAACCACCACAGACCGTTACAGAGGAATTTAATAATTAATTAATTAACCAATTAACTGATTAATTAATTTCTCTGTAACTATCTGTGGGGGGGGGTCCAAATTTTTACCCTATATACTTCAGCACTCCTTTTAGATCGTTTTTCACAAAAGGTATTCTAGGAAACTGAATGTAGGTTTCAATAGTAACAAGCTCGGGAAACCCCTTAAGAGTTCCTGAGACATGATTTCCGAAACCTCTGAAACCAAGAAAGCAAATAAAAATTTCCTTCGGATACAAATGGTGGAAACGGATTAAAGGCTTCGGAGATTTCATTTTTCTCTTTTCTGTATGGAGAACCGCCGCACCGCTATAATTCAGATAGGCCGTTTCGCACGCAGCATTCTGTGGAAACTATCACTACACGTGAGAGAAAGTCAAGTTATCCTGCGGAAAACCACGAGAAATCGCTGGAACAACCGATGTAAAAAAATAGCGAAAACAACAGCTTTAGAGACAGAGCTGGGCAAGTACAGACTTTTTCGAGTACGAGTACATGATATGAGAATATGTTTGTCGCGAACTTATCAGAGAAAATTTAATTGGTAGTGTTAGAGATTACGTATCAATTGTGAGATCAAGAAATAGTGTTAGTCATAAATCAATATTTTTAAATTACGTTTATCATCGAGCTTCAAAAAGAAACTACAACAAAACTTGATTACATTTAAGAAATGTAATCAAACATACATTTTTTGAAGTTAATGAAGCGCGATGTGGGCGCATTACAAATACACTTTGAGAAAATATTCTTTCAATAGGAGCTGATGTAGCCGGCACTGATAAGTATTTCAGACCCAGTTCATATAAAGAAGGATAAATATTTTTCTTTAGAAAAAGTAAATTAGTTTCATTACTTTTCTCGCATAGAAAAGCATTTAGCTCTACCAAAATTTTTGGTTTCTCATCCGAAGAAATTTTTTTCAAATCATTTAGGTAAGGAAAAAGATATTTTCTTTTTGTTATGGGATCAAAATTTTGTGTCGGCTGATCGCTCGTATCTTGTTGAACTATGNCGGCTGATCGCTCGTATCTTGTTGAACTATGTTCAGTTCATCAGCTCCCACTTTCTGTAACAAAGAAAAGTTCAATTTTGAGAAAAAACGAACAAAAGTAGTATGTATTTTTTTGATAACACGCAACTTTACCGTACCTTGAAGACTATCAAGCCATAAAAACTTAAAACGTGCATCTAGAACTGGCGTAGCAAGAAAAATAGGATCAGAAAAACGTTCAGACATAGAATAAGAAGCAAATGGCACATCATTTTCGAAATGGCGAAGAAGTCCACTAAAACGAGCTTTAATGGACGAAATAAGTGCTTCACATAAAGATACAAGAGATAAATTTGACGCAGCGCGCTCATGTTCAAGATCAGAAAGAATATCAAGAATTGTAGGAGCAACAAGACTAATCGTAGCATAGCATTCACCTTGTGTCAAAATGGTAGCTTCATTAAAAAGTTCAAACAAAGAAACAAAATCTTCTAAAGTTTTTCTGTCTTTCGTATTAAGAATAAGACAATTCTTGTTTAAATCAGTTAAAATAGAATTGAGTACGGCAAATGGAATCCTAATAACTTTTTTTACAGTTTGGAATTGTGAGTTCCATCGAGTACTATTAGCTCGAGGAATACTATAATGATGTTCCTCCAATCATTCAGCAAATGAAGTACTTGTGTGCGCAAGTTTAGCAAGATCAGCTACCTTTTTAAGAGATGATAAAGCATCACTAGCAGGCTGAATACCATCATGTACTACCAGTTGAAGAGAATGGATAAAGCATGGTAATCGTAAAAATTCTTGATCTGTTGGTGCATTAAGTGTTGATCCATATATATCATCATTTACTTCTTCTATTTCCAATCGATTCTTGTCGCGCTCATCACTATCAGTATCATCGTCATTTGTTTCAAGTTCCGATTGATCATCAATTGAATCATCAAAATATTCATCAAAACCGGGTAATACAAGATAATTAAAAGCAGCTTGATTCTACTTGCATTATCAGTAATAATTCGAACAAGTTTGTCTTTTAAGTTATACAGCTGTGTAACTCGATCGAATTCGTCAGCTAGTTTTTCACCGGAATGTTTACCTGTTAGACGTTCAAATGAAAGAAGATAAGTTTTATAGTGATTGTCAACAATTGCAAGAAGAGTTATACCAAAATAACTTCGCATTCTACGATCACTGCATACGTCAAGAGTAAGACTAATATAGTTGGATCGATTACAAACTTCCTGTAGCTTCTTGATACATGATTTATGCAACACAGGAAGAAAATTGCGTGTAATATCACGTCTATTAATCATATTGTATTTTGGATCAACGTCTAACATAAAATGTTTGAATGATTGATTATCGACAATAGAAAATGGAAGAGACATATTAACAATACGATTTCGAACTATTCTGTTGTTGAGAAATTGTTGGTGTTTATTACTGGTGGAATCTAAAATCAGAAAAATTCTTTATTCCTTTTATCTTTATAGAAAATGTAAAATCGAGTCATAATAACATGTTTCTCTCAATATAAGAACAATATTCACCATAGGGGTGGCACTTTACGTTAATTTAATATTAAGTGTTAGGTTTTAACTTAACACTTAATATTAAGAAAAAAAACGTTTACATTAGCGACTTAATTACTTAATATTAAGTGTTAAACGAAACACTTAATTTTTAAAATTAAGTATTGCTAGAGCACTTAATATTAAGATAAAAATGTGTAGATTACCCACTTAATTACTTAATATTAAGTATTACGTTAACACTTAATATTAAAAAGCTTGTTAGCGCAGCCCCTTTGGGGCTAAAATGTGGAACTCACATATATCCCTTCGGCT